AGGGGGGATGGTCACGCCGCAATCCCTTCTCCTCCATTCTCCTCTCGGGATCTTGGGCACGCACGCACACGCACCCAGCGTGAGTTTTAAGTTACCGGGTCCGGGACACAAACCGCGGTCGACTACGTGGGAGTCCAGCGACATAGCCATTACGCTAACTGCTGGTTTCCCAGAAAATCTTTTTAAAAATTGTGGCCCCAGAGGCCGGGTGGTTGAGTGTGTTGTATTCCCACATGGTCAACTGGTTTGAGCTCTGGACCTGGGGGCTTGCTTTCTCATTTTCTTTTTCTCTCTCACTTTCACTCTGTCCCTCTCTAATCAAATTTAAATTAAAAAAATTTAATAAAGTTAAATAAAATAATTCTTTAAAAAATTGTGACCCCTATTTAAAACTTTTTCATTTGCCCGGCAAAAGTCCCTCCTTGGGAAAACAATGCAAATCCCAGCTGCAGTGACATTTGTATCCAGGTTATCTGAAGACCCCTCAAAAGTCAACAGCAAGTCTAGGCAGGTACGAGGGGTCTTGTTGGAGTGATGCAGATGTTCTGAAGCTGGGTTATAGTAAGCTTACTAGACCTCATGGACTTGTACCCTTAAAATGCGTGAATTTTGGGAACCAGCAGTTAGCGTAATGGCTATGTCACTGGACTCCCACATAGTCAACCGCGGTTCGTGTCCCGGACCCGGTGGCTTAAAAAAAAAACTCACGCCAGGCGCGTGTGTGTGCGTGCCCAAGATCCAGAGAGGAGAATGGAGGAGAAGGGATTGTGGCGTGACCATCCCCCCGGGGGGTGATTTCTCGCTTTCTGTCTCTATGTCTCTCTCTGTCTGTCTGGCGAGCGCATGTGCCCTACAGTGAAAATCTCTCCAAAAAAAAAAAAATTAAAAAAAAATGGGTGAATTTTATGGTATGTAAATGATAGACCTCAATAAAGTTTAAAAAAAAAAAAAACAACCAAGAATACAACCTAGTTTTTAAAAATGAGTAAAAGAGGGGCCAGCAGATGTTGTAACGGCTACATTGCTGGACTCCCATGTAGTCAACCGCGGTTCGAGTCCTGAACCCAGTGGCTTAAACTCACGCCAGGCGCGTGTGCGTGCGTGCCCAAGATCCCGAGAGGAGAATGGAGGAGAAGGGATTGCGGCGTGGCCATTCCCCCCTGGGAGGGATTTCTCGCTTTCTGTCTCTCTGTTTGTCTCTCTCTTTCTGGTGCGCGCATGCACCCTATAGCAAAAAACTCTCAAAAAAGAGTAAAAGAATTAGACATTTCATCAATATATACAGACAGCCAAAACACACATGGGAAGATGCTCTACACCACTTGCCATTGGGGAAATACGGATTAAAATCAGGACTGTGTATCACTTCACATCCACTAGGGTGCTAACTTTTTTCTTTCTTTCTTTCTTTTTTTTACTTATGCTATAGGGTGTGTGTGCTTGCCAGAGAGAGACAGAAAGGGAAAGTGAGAACTCACCCCCGAGGGAGGATGGCCATGTGGTGAGCCCTTCCCCTCCCTTCTCCTCTTGAGATTTGGGCCCACATTCACATGTACCTGGTGTGTTTTTCAAGCTGCTGTTTTGGGGCCAGAACTGGAGCCATGGATTAGCCATGGAAGATCCAGCTGCCTTAACCACTTTACCACCTGCTGGCCTAGACACTAGCAGTTTTAAAATTACTGTTAAGGGGCCAGCAGGTGGCCTGGTGGTTAAGGGCGCTGGACTCCCACAGGGCTGACCATGGTTCGAGTCCCAGACCTGGCAGCTTGCTTTCTCATGTTCCCTCTTCCTTTCTCACTCTCTCTCACTCTGTCTCTCTCTGGTCAAATTTAAATAAAATGAAATAAGATGGTTCTTTAATTTTAAAAAAATGCTGTTAATACAAAGCATGACCAAGTTTGCAGAGCGACCAGGTGGGACAGCAGAATGGTATAGCCACTCTGGAACGTGGCTTGATGGTTCCTTCTCAGGTCGAACATACGCTTCCTGTGGAACCCAGCAATCACACACCTGAGTTTTTCCAGGGGCATGAAAGCTTTCGCTCACACGCAGTCCCATCCGTGAATGTCTGTGAATCTATTCATGATTGCCCAAACCTGGGAACGGCCTAAGTGTGCTTCGGCATCCATCCAGTAGAAAGCAGCCCAGCTGTAGGCAGGCCCAGAGGTCCATGGCCTCCACCTGGCCTCCAGCCCAGGAGGCGTGAGGGGCGCTCTGCCAGGTGGAAGAAGCCAGCCCCTGAGGTCATGTGCTCTGTGGAGTCTATTTAAATGGGAACGGCACGCTGATGCGGGGTTTTGTTTGTTTTTAATGTTTTAGCAGAGGGTGCATGTGACTGCCAGAGAGAGGCAGAGGAGAAAGCACCCCCACGGAGAACGGTCACTCGGCAACCCCTTCTCCATCTGTCCCTCCTTTGGGGATCTGGCCACCCACGCACACGCGCCCTCTGTGTTTCTCAAGTCGCTGGTCTGGGATTCCAACCACATGGTCAGCCATGTGGAGTGCGGCTGCCTTACCCACCGGGCCTCGGGGTTGGCCCTGGAGGACATTCTGGGAAAGACTGCAAGGTAGTTCTGACGGCTAGTCTCCACAGGCTCACGTGTTGAGATTTGGTTGTGAACGCCGCTGAGACTCAGTATTTTCAGGGCGTTGGAAGGTGTGGCTTTGGGGAGCGATTGCATGATTAGGGCGGAACCTCACGGCTGACTCCTGGGGCGGGAAGAGACCCCGAGAGGCTCGCGGAACGCAGGCCCCGCTCTTCTGCCCTCCGCCATGTGGTGCAGTTGGAAGGCCCTCAGCAGACGGAGCCCCTGGACCGTGGACCCCTGAACTGTGAGTGGAATAAGCCTCTGTTCTCTTCCGTGGGCGACTCGGTGTTCCCTGTTCCTAGCACACAGGGCCCGGATGTCATGCTGGAGTGAAGGGCAGTGCTTGCCGGGGCTGGGGGGATGGAGGGGGACTGCAAGGGGACACAGGCGAGGGTGGTCTCGGCGACAGATCCTTTGTCCTGATACGCGGTGGGCACACAACTGCACGTGCTGACATCCATGAACTGTATGTTAAGTTGTCAGATTTGTTTAATAATTTAAAAAATAGAATCCTTTAAAAATAAAATCCTCCTCCATCCTACAAATATTTTGGGTGCCTACTGCGTGCGAGGCACTGGGTGAAAGCCAGTACGTGGGGGGCAGCCCCTGGAGCGTCTGGGAGGGAGACGGGCCGTCCCAGTGCCATGACTAAGGCTGAGTCATGGAGGACAGGGCCACTCCTTCCAGGTGGGTAATAAGGGACAGCTGCTCGAGGAGGGGCAGCTGGGCTTCAAGGAGGAAGCGGTCATTCGTTCGACAAACATTTATTGAGCACCTACTGTGTGACGAGCTCTGTCCTTGGCCTGGGGTCCCGCTGTGAGCGTGACAGCCCAGTCCCTGCCCTCCCAGAGCGCACATTCTTGGGGGTGAGACATGGGCGTTAAACAGGCTACCAGGTAAGGACCGCAAGCACCTCGGAGTCCCAAGGAAGGTGGTGGGTCGTGCAGTCATGGGGGAGTCTGCTTTAGGACGTGTGATTAGGGAAGGCTTCTCGGAGGAGGTGACATTGGAGCTGGGGAGCGTGGGGGAGAGGAGGTTCAGGTAGAAGGTAGAGCAGGTGCAGAGGTTCTCAGCTGAGAAGGGTCTTGAAGCACGTGGAGGGCTGGCCAGGAGAAGTGGGGGGAAGAGGTGAGGGGTGGGCTGGGGTGCCGGCAAGATGCCTGGCACGTAGTAGGTGCTGCTAGTATGCTCGTCTTTATCCCGCGCCTGGCGCAGGGAAGGAAGATAGGCTGGAATGAACCTGTCTGAATCCCCCCCAGGGTTCCCGAGGTTCCCCCAAGGAAAGGATAGTCCAGGCCGCCCACCTTGTCCTCTCGTGGCCATGGCTGGCTGGGTGGGGTTGACGGCATCTGGGGTCTCGGCAGCTGGGACCCAGAGGATGCAGCTGACTGTCCACCTGGCTGCCCAGCATCTCCGCTCATAGCCCTGGGGTCCCTCTGGCACACTGGCCATCTAGGGGCCCTCAGAAG